TCTGGGATACAAAGTGACATTCACGAGAGGGTCCTGCTAGGCTTCCTTCCTGCCCCTCTCTAGGCTCCACCCTCATGTCAGCTCCCTGAGGTCCACCTTTCATGTCAGCATGCTGTCCCCAGGCTCTGCTCCTGCCCAAGCAGGGTCCCACTGCACCCGATCCCACGGCTGCCCTGGAACCTAGGGAGAGGCCAGAGCCCCATGCAGTGGCCCTGAGCCTGCTTCCCTCGCCAGGCCCTTCCTTGGCCCACCCTGGAGACATCCAGGAAGCCACTCGGAGAGGGCTCACAGGAGCTGGCTGGTGCTCAGAGAGAGTGAGCCGCTGGCCTGGATCACACAGCCGGTTCTCCAGGACGTGCCTTCACCCCACACCCCACCCCGGGGTCACTGTCTCAGGGACTGCTCTAAGGCCCCTCCGCAGGCCCCAGCACCGATACACAGAACCTGCACCCTCCCCTGCAGAACCCTCACCTCCCACTCTCCGGCTGTCTTCCCCTGCCCAGGCCCACTGCAGCCCCCACACGGGGCCCAAAGGCATGCCAGATCCCGCCCCCACTCCAGTTAGCCCACCATGCTTGAGCAGGATCCGGGATGGAAGATGGGGAGTGGGCAGTGGTGAGCAGACAACATTCCTTATCCACTAAGAGGAGACCCCAGGGGTCCCACGCAGCCACACACAGCGACACCTGCTCCTCCCACCCTCAGACCCCAACTGCAGCCAGGCACCCACACTGCTCTCAGCCACTGAGGCAACTGCAACTGCTCAGATGGCTCCACTGCTCCTCCTGCTTGAAGCTGCTTCTCCCCAACAAACTTCTCCTCCCCCAGCTGCTCTCTCCCCTCAAAGCTGCTTCCTCCCCACCCAGCTGCTCTCTCCTCTCCCTGTCTTCCCAAGCTGCTCCTCCCCACCCAGCCAAGCTACTGTGCCAGGCATCATCCTGGACATAAGGAAAGCCGATAGAGATTCAAGGTTAGCAGGCAAGGTCATTGCAGAGCTCAGGCTGACCGAGAACTGCGAGGAGATGCCACGCTCATGCCCTGGCTGCAGGGTTCTGGGAGCACCTGGCAGCATGGTGGGAAGAGGCCAGCGGGATAGTGGGGTGGGGGGAAGAGGGCTGCTGCAGATGCCTTGAACTCCACTCACCCAGTGTCTGGGACTCCCTGGCAGCTTCTCCTCCCCGACAGCAGGGTGCCATCTCTCATTCCCTTCGCTATCTCCCAGCAGGTCAAGATGGCCTGGAATTGACAGGTGAGGCTAGGGGTCAGACCATATTAGCTGCCCCAAGACGAGGTCCCCTTAAACCACCGTTAAGTCCAGATCAAGAGGAAGCTGAATCGTCAGTATCAACGATGGCTGGGGCAGCACAGGGTTGGCCAAGATATAGAGGGGACACTGGCCTCTCTTCCACACAGGAGTGCTTGGGGTCAATTCGCAGCTCCACTTCCAACCCAACTTCCTGCTGGTGTGCACTCTGATAGAGGGGTGATGATCAATTACATGGGCCCCTGTGATGCCAGCATCCCGTGGGCACCTGTTTGAGTCCCAGTTCCTCTACTTTCTGTTCAGCTCCCTGCTTGTGGCCTGGGAAAGCAGAGGAGGACGGCTCAAAGACTTGGGACCCTGCATCCACATGGGAGACTTAGAAGAAGCTCCTGGCTCCTGGCTTCAGATCAGCTCAGCTCTGGCTATTATAGCATTTGGGAAATGAATCAGTGGATGGAAGATCTTTCTCTCTGTCCCTCCTTCTCTATAACTCTGCTTTAAAATAAAAAAATAACATACATTTTTAAAATGATCATCAGCATAACAGAATCCACAGCACTTAATGAGCACTTGGCACTTGCTGCTGTGGATCAGGTCCAAGGGTAGACACCATGCACATACCCATTTCACAGATGAGGAAACTAAGCCTCATTTCAGTGAGGAGGTTGGCCTGTCCCACAGCCCTGAAGCACAGGGACTCCAGCAGCTTCACCCTGAGCAGCAGGAGAGCGGGACTAGGCCTCTCAAGAACATGGGGAAGGCCTGGCGTGGTAGCCTGGCAACTAAAGTCCTCCCCTTGCATGCGCTGGGATCCCATATGCTCGCCAGTTCTAATCCCAGCAGCCCCGCTTCCCATCCAGCTCCCTGCTTGTGTCCTGGAAAAGCAGTCGAGGACGGCCCAAAGCCTTGGGACCCTGCACCTGCGTGGGAGACCTGGAAGAAGCTCCTGGCTCCTAGCTTTGGATCAGCGCAGCTCCGGCTGTTGTAGCCACTTGGGGAGTGAATCAGCGTATGGAAGATCTTCCTGTTTCTCCTCTCTGTACATCTGACTTTCCAATAAAAAATAATGAATAAATCTTTAAAAAGAAGGAGAGAGAGAGAGAGAGAAGAGAACAGAACAGAACAGAACATGGGCAATGCTGACCACTGCTCTGGATTCAGGCTGGGCCCTCTGCTCCCAGGCCTGAACCTCGCCGTGGATGGTGCTGCAAAGAAGGTGAAAGTCTGGCTGCTCGGCCTGAAGGCAGGACAGAGGGTTCTAGCCAGTCTGCAGGCAGATGTGCACAGCAAGGGCCATCCAGCCACAGCCTCCACAGGTCACGGAGTCACCCAGGACAGAGTCCAACACTGACAATTCCCAGGAGCACTGGGGGGCAGGTGCGAGAGAGCTCCCCTCTGAGCACGCTCCAAGCGCTGCAGCCTGCTGAGCGCAAGGCGGCCTGGAACCCCACACAGCTTGTGCCAGCGTTCGACAAACACCAGTCACGGATGTGGAAGTCCTGGGCACCCGCCCAGGCCTAAGAAATCACAAATGTGGGTGGGTAGGCGTTCCATACACCCTGGGGTTCCACATGCTCCCCAAGACTCCCCCCTCTGAGCATAGTTCTTCTTTACCCCTAGAAGCCCCCAGAACAAAGAACAGGTGACGCTGCTACCCCCAAAGAAGCTGCCCCAAGAGGCTCCCTCTGCCTGTCCCTGCTGGGCGACGTCAGGCCACAAATAATCCGGGGTGCACCACATGTGACTGCCAGCCAGTGGGGCCAGGCACTGGCGCTGAAGCGCTTGCCGACACTGGCCAGAAGGCTACCTGGCCCTGCCTGCCTTTTAAGGCTTTCCGCAGAGGAACCCCCACACCCCCACTGCCCCCATCCCGGGCCTTCTCCCTTCCTGCCCAGAACTGTTCCCCGTCTCCCAAAGCCTTTAAAAATAGCCCAGCCAGCACCACCCGCCGTTCCTAGCAAAGCCCCGTGACTCAACGTCTTTCCAAGCCGATGGATCTGCAGCAGGGACAGGGGATGGACACAAGCAGCCCCTTCCCCAGCGGTTCCACCACCAGGGGCTTGTGGCGGGACCCAGAAAGACACCCCTGGAAGGGCTCCTGGCTTGAACTTGGTGGTCTCTCCAGACCATGGCTTGGGAGAAGGGCATGGCCCAGACCTGGTATTGGCATGCTGTCACATGCCACCTGGGACTTCTGAGCCTCGGTTTCCTCCCCCATGCAGAGAAATGGGAAGGGCACCCAGGACGCGTGGCACCATGTTCATGGATGTGCACGCCTGGCATGGAGCTCCAGGAACCCCAGTTCCACCTCGCTGAGTGGCACCATCCCCCTTCCAGGGGGACGCCCCCTGCACCCTTCTGCCTCCCAGGCCCAGGGTCACAGCAAGCCCCACCTGCAGCCCCCAGCTGGAGCCCCATCCAGGCTGAACCTGAAGGAGTGCCCCACCAGTGCCACCACCAGCAGCCGGCCTGGGAAGGGCCCCCAGCTGCCCGACAGCATCACCGCTTGGAGTAGCAGCCTGTAGAGTACAGGTCTCCTTGTTCCACGTATGCCTGGGGAGCATGGGTCCCTGCACCCACCAGGACAAGCTCCTTTGTTCCAACCACACAGAGCCGAAGCCTGAGCCTGGACAGACCTGCAAATGTGCCGGGAGATGGATGGGGCTGGGGGGAGGGGAGCTGAGGTTGTGCAATGCACCAGGAGAAGCTGCCTCCAGCCTTCACCAGCACTGGGGGTGGGCAGTCGACACAGCACCTTGCTGCCCCATGCAGCTGCCCAGATCTGGCTTCTGAACCCCCAACCCAAGTCCACAGCCGCTGCCCCTTCCCAGGCCAACATGCACGCAGTCAGAGGCCTTTCAAGGCAATGTAGTCATCCTGTTTTCTGGCCCAAGAGGGACAGGGTGTCAGGCCCCAGGTCCCAGTACTTCCTGGCACGTGGGCACACCTGGAGAGGGGGTTAACCCAGTATGGAGAAGGCACAGGGCTGTGAAGCTTGGGCAGGTGAAGGGAGACACCTGGAGGGAGACTCAAGTAGAGAGAGCCGGCAAGGGCCCGACCCTCCTGTCGCTGCACACCACCCCAAGACCCCAACACTGCACCCTGCACCAACCTACTTCCCAGCCTGGCAAGCAGACACCTCGGAGGAGGAGCGAGGCCAGCCTGGACCCCGAGGAGACCTAGGGCTACAAATGCTGCGACCCTCGCGGCCAGCACGCACACGGCGGGACAGAAGAGGGGGCAACAGGCCGAGCCTGCTGCAGCGGCAGCGGCAACATCGTGATCCATGAATCACTCACCCGCCGCGCTCTGCCAGGCGGCTCCGCGCCACGCTGCGCCCGAGCACCCCTCCCGCGCCCCTCGCCCTCGCACACCCCCAGCTCTGAGAGGAGGGGTCAGAGACGGCAGAAGCCGGGGATCCCCCCACACACACACACACACTTGGGCCTTGTGAGGGGGTGGCCCGGCGCTCGCTGACTACCCCAGGCCAGGGCTGCACCGGGATGGTGGGGGGCGGGGTGCAGAACAATAGGTCCAGGTGTGATGCGGGGGCGCGGCGCGGGCAGCTCCCGGGGGTCAGGGGCGCCAGCACGGCAGGCCGCGCCCGAGGGGAGGTGACGACGAGGAGGCGGGGGAGAGAGGCCCCGGGGAGGGGCTGGGGATCCGAGTGACGGCGGGGGAGGGGCGCGAGGGGTGCGGGGTGCGGAGACGAGGGGCGCGGCGCGCGCGCACTCACAGTAGGTTTTCCTGGTCAGCTCCTCCACAACTTCAGGCTTCAACTTGCTGTTGGATTTCCCCATCCTCGGCGGCCGCGGCCCCCGCCCTCCGGGCCGGAGCCGGTCGGGGCGCCGAGCGGGAGCGGCCGGCCAGCCGCGGGCCGGGGCAGGGCGCGCGGAGGCCCGCGGGCCGGGCCGGGCCGGGCTGGGCCAGGCCGGGCCGGGCCGGAGCCGCGCCTTTGTCTGAGCGGCGCGCGTGCGGCCCGGCGCGCGGGGCTCGGGCGGCTGCGCTGCGCGATCGGCGGCGCGGGGGCTCCCGGGGCGCGGGGCGGCAGCTCGGCAGAGGCCCGGGCGGTCCGGGCGCCGCGGGCGCGGAGCTGCGCTGGGCCGGCCGCCGTGGCCGCGGTCGTCCCTGGTTACTGGGCTCCGCGGCACATGCTCGCCGCCGCGCTCGCTCTCGCCGCCGCCCCTGCGCTCCCCGCCTCCCGCCCGCACCGGCGCGCCAGGGGAGGGCCCCGAGCCGCCACTCAGCGGCCGGCGCCACCTCCCGCCCCGCACCCGCCGGGCCCCGGGCCTCCGCCCGCAGGACGCGCGGCCGGCTGAGCCGGGCAGTGCAATGCGGAGGGGCGTCCCGGGGCGGGGGTGGATGGGTTAGGGTGGGGCGCGCGCCCCCCGCCGCCCCCTTCCTCGGCGCAGCGGGGCGGGGCCGGCCTGGAAGAGGTGACGTGAAGGAGGCCAGCTCCCTGCCCGGCGCAGTTCATTCATTCGACACGGATTTGTGGGGCACTGGGGACCTCACCGGGCCCAGCGCTGGGAGGGCCCTGTCCCGCTGGATTGTCACTCGGGGTGGCGGGACCACTTCCCCGCGGCCTAGGGGGAAGGTGACCTCCTGTCTCAGCGTGGGGCTGCAAAAAGGTCGCCGAAAGACGAGGGAGGCTGCTGTCGCAGGGGCTGGCAGGCCTGGAAAATCCTGTCCCCCTCCCCTGGAATCTGGGCCTATGCCCACCACCCCTAGGAATAGACTTGAGTGGGCCTTGGGGCCTCGGTGCGGGGATGCAGGTCGCTAGCCAGAGCTCCACACGGATGGGCAGGGTCGAGGGACCCTGGGGTGGGAGGACCACGCCCTGGAGAATGGCCGTACAGGGCTAGGCAGGCCAAAGTTCAGAGCGGCAGTGGTCTCCAGGCCTGTGGGCCACTGGCATCCACGCCCTGCGGGAGTCCCCGTCCTGCTTCTGCGACTGCACACCTGGGAGGCAGCAGGTGACAGTTCAGGTGCTTGGGTCCCTGCCACCCACGTGGGAGACGCCATGGAGTTCCCAGCTGCCCGGGCCGGCCCCAGCAGTCATGGAGCCTGAACTAGCAGATCAGATGCAAGCTCTCCCTCTCTCTCCAGCTGTGTGTGATGAATGGTGATTTGGCTTCTCCTCTGTCCCAGCACAGAGCCAGCCCCAGCAGAAGGCCACCTGAGGCCCCTGGTAGTCACTCCCTGCCTGCTGTGAATGGACAGACAAGGAGGCAGGGCAGCCATCTTGAGGGTGTTGGTGGTTGGGGTCAGAGCCCCTCCTCTCACCGCTCTCCTGTCTCCAGCAGTGGGGAGGAGCTGGTGGCTAGGATCTCCTTCACCTGCCCACTTCTGCAATGCATCTTGCTGGGGTGAGGGCGAAAAGCTTAGCGCACCCCCTTCCCCTGCCCTCCAAACATGCCCCCAGCTTTGCCCTTGAGCCCTGACCTGGAGCTCGGCGGGAACAGAGAGTTATCTCTGTGTGTCACTGTTTCAAATAAATATATGTATTTTTTAGATTTATTTATTTTTATTGGGAAATCAGATATACAGAGAGAGAAGGAGAGACAGAGAGGAAGATCTTCCGTCCATTGATTCACACCCCAAGTGGCCACAAAGGCCGGAGCTGAGCTGATCCGAGGTCAGGTGCCATGAGCCTCTTCAGGGTCTCTGACACGGGTGCAGGATCCCAAGGCTTTGGGCCGTCCTCGGCTGCTTTCCCAGGCCACAAGCAGGGAGCTGGGTGGGAGGTGAGGCTGCTGGAATGCAAACAGGTGCCCATATGGGGTCCTGGCATGTGCAAGGCCGGGACTTTAGCCCTACGCCACTGCACCGGGCCCATAACTAATGTTTTAAAAGGATTTATTTGTATTAGAAATATGGAGTTACAAAGATAAAAGAAGAGGCACAGAGAGAGACCTTCCATCTGATGGTTCACTCCCCAAATAATGGCTGCAAAGGCCACAGCTGGGCAAGTTGGAAGCCAGGAGCCAGGAGTTTCTTCCAGGTGGGTGTAGGGTCCCAAGGTTTGGGGTCATCTCCCACTGCCTTTTCCAGGGCACAAGCAGGGAGCTGAATGGGAAGAAGAACAGCTGAGACACAAACCAGTGCCCATTTGGGATCCTTGCGTTTGCAAGGGGAGGATCAGCTAACTGAGCCATCATGCTGGACCCCAAAATAAAATCATTTTAAAATCCCATTTCACGGGCCCAGCGCAGTAACCTAGCAGCTAAAGTTCTCATCTTGAACACCTGGAATCCCATATGGGCGCCAGTTCTAATCCCGGCAGTCCCACTTCCCATCCAGCTCCCTGCCTGTGGCCTGGGAAAGCAGTCGAGGACGGCTCAAAGCCTTGGGACTGCACCCGCGTGGGAGACCTGGAAGAGGCTCCTGGTTTCAGATCGGCATAGCATCAGCCATTGTGGCCACTTGGGGAGTGAATCATCGGGTGGAAGATCTTCCTCTCTGTCTCTCCTCCTCTCTGTACATCTGACTTCGCAATAAAAACAAATACATCTTTTTTTAAAAATCCCATTTCACTTCCAATCCAGATTTTAAAAATTTGATTTTGTTATTTGAATGTCAGAATGGAAAGAGAGACCCTCTATACGCTGGTTTATTCCCCCAAATGACCAGAAATGGCTGAATCAAGAGCCAGGAGTTTCATCCGGGTCTCCCCTGTGAGTGCATGGTTGAGCTGCATGGATTTGTGAATGAGCAAGCTGCTGCTGCTGGTAGAGCAACAGGTGCGGGACCCATCTGGACTGGGGACGAACAGCTCCTCCTCCGCTCTCCCAGGCGCCTGTGACTGACAAGGGACCTCTTGGTTCCCGTTTGCCTGTAGTCTGCGGCACAGCCACCAGCAGGTGGGATGTTCGGGGCGGAGGGGCGGTTCTGGCAGCCAGCAGAGCCCAGGAGTGGGGAGGTGGGGGTAGGGGAGAGGTCTTTTGACTTTCCAGCAAGCATCAAGTCTCCAGGAAGGGTCCCAGGGGAGGCTGTTCTCAAAGCCCAGGGGTCCCAGCTAGAGCGCGCGCCAATGCAGAAGCAGGAGGTTGGTCCTCAGTGGACCCTAGCCTCATGGCATCCCCTGAGGGCCAAAGGGAGGGTTGGCATGCAGGACCTGCAAGAATGTGCCCGTCCACACCCTTGCCAGCAGGGAGGGGTGGAGACATAACAGGGCATCTGGGCTATTTAAAAGGACTTCACTCCCCGCTCTGCTTTCTGGTTCACTCTTTGCATGTCTCCCGCCAATTGGCCTGGGAATCTCCCAGACCACATTCCCAAGAAAACCCTCTTCCCTCTTTCCCTAGGTCTTTTAAAGCAGCAGGAAGTTGTGCAAGGCCAGGAGCCCCCAGGGGATTGCTTGTACAAGGGACCGGAGAGTGAGGACAGCAGCTGGACACACCTCTCCCGATGGTGGCAGAATTAGAACTCAGGGACTGAGGGGACAGCTGAAGATGGGTCAGGAGGGGGTGGGACACAGGGATGTCGGGACCGCTGGCTTCTAGTGAGCAACATGAGGCTGTGTCCTGGGATCTGGCCAGGCCACCCCTGCCCCTCTCCTCAGCTAGGGAGACTACGAGGCCACGCCAGGTCACAGGACCACCCTGGACGGGGCAGGCAGCTCACCAGACGGTCCCACTAGGACTGTGTGGGGGGCAGGTTTCCCTTATACACAATTAGGTACATCTTCTAGAAGAATGGGAAATGGAGACAGGTCTACTGCAGGGTGGGGTGTGGGGGTGGCAGCTAGCAGCCAAATCCCAGGACACCCCCTCCGCGGGGTAGCTTGTCTGCAGATAGCATCTCTTGGTGCTCCCCTCATGCCCCTGCACGGCATCCCAACCTCTGGCCCACCTGGCCACCAGACAGGCCGGAGAAGCGATCTGATCGGCCCACACTCTGGATGCGTGTCCCTTGGAATCCAGGAGCCCTTGAAGCTGGGAGCCACGCACGGGATGCTGAGTCGGGGAGGAGGCCGCAGGCTTGCTTCTCATACATTCCGTGGCTTCAGTAGTGCCCAGCATGGAACCCCGGCATGGAGCCAGCCGCACGTGGCTGCTACCACCTGGCAAGGGTGATTCTTGCCGCTGGCACACTCTAGTCTGCATGGGTCGTCCTCTGCTGCCTTCCCAGGTGCATCAACAGGGAGCTGGAAGTGGAGCAGCTGGGACTACAAGAGCTCAGGTTGCAGGCAGCAGATTAACTCTTTGAACCACAACGATGGTCCAAGTGTGGCTTCTGTACAGCTGGTGGTGTGGGCTGCCTGGCGACGGCCCTGGGTCTAAATGTCCCCCAGCTCGTGTGGTGGAAACCCGGTCCCCAGGGTACCCTCTCCAGGTGGTCGGGTCAGCAGGGGTCTCACCTCACGAATGCAGTAATCATCGCAGCAGGTTCAGTGTTGTGGTATGACCACCATATGGCAAATCGGCTGGGCTTTGTGAGGGCGTGGGCTTTGTGGGACACTGTGCTCCGGGGTTGGCCTCGGGCTCAGCTGGCTAGACGCTGTGTGGAATCCCCACGTTCCATATCCAAATTGTCGGGTCCGAGTGCTGTCCCCTCTTCCCACCTAGCTTCTGGCCAGTGTGCCCCCTCGGGGGGCAGCAGGTGGTGGCCACATGTGTCCAGGTGCACTGTCCCTTTCTCCTGTCATCTCCCACCCCATGACACGGCCATCCCACAGTATCTGAGAATGCATTCCCAACTCTGGGCTCTTACCGCAGCTCAGCTCTGACTTGCAGGTGTTTCAGAGTTGGAAAGCAATCCAAACCTCCCATGTGGGAGCACAAATCCTTCTCTATTGCCTCCCA